AAGCTAGCTAGCTTTGTGTTTACATGACTAATGATTTGAGTTTGAATAGGATTACTTACTTTGTTGCTGTAATTTTGTTAAAATGGGGATGGGAGTTCGAACACTGGGGTTATTTATAACCTTATCTGTAGATTTCAGAAACAGCACATGAAGAATCGTAGGGATTATTCCAGTTTTTAAATAATGTTCTGTTGAATATGTAGACAGCATTAAAGGCATATGTGAGAGGAAACCATACCTGGCTGTTTATAGAGTCTCCCTGCTGTCTCACAGAAAGGACAATCTTAACAAACACCTGTCAGCAGCACCAGTCAGGTCTGACAGCAGGTAAAATAATTCAATTTGTTTTAATTTGATTGTAAACATATATGGCTCTGCAATTCTGATGAACGTTACTTATATAAAATATGTCACTGTTGAATAAAAATGTAATATAAGTGTAACATTAAGCGTCAGTAGACACATTCTTTCAATAACATAATATGATTTGATAAAATGATCTCATGATCTCTGGAAACAGTAATATAATAAAATATTTCATTCACACTGCAACATATAAATAAACTGTAACTTCATATAATCTCCATGGAACAGTGAAGCTGTTTCACACAAGTGATGTTTGATTTTTCTTAATGTTGATGTGTTTCAGTGGTTCCTGCTCATGTTGAACAGATGGTGCTGATTAAAGAAGAAGCTCCTGAAGAATGGAGGCCTGGTGTGGACCAGCTGGACCCAGAAGCCCTCAACATAAAAGAAGAAGAAGAGGAGGAACCTTGGAGCAGACTGGAGGGAGAGCAGGTGAATGTGAAGGAGGAGACTGATGACAGCATGTTTTCAGTCACTGCAGTTACCTTGAAGAGTGAAGATGATGAAGATGATGAAGAGAAGCCTCTGTTGTCACAGCTTCATCAGCACCAAGTGGAGGACAGAGATCTTCCAAGCAGCAGCTCAGCTGATGGAGAGGACTGTGGAGGAGCAGAAACTAGCAGGAACCCAGATCTACAGACTCACAAAGACCATTCCAGCTCTTCAGAGACTGAACTCAGTGAGGATTATGAAGAGGACCAGGATGTGGACGATCAACACAACAACACAGTGTCTTGCAGTAATGTTCAGACAGGCGACAAACTCTTTCTTTGTGATGTTTGTGGACAAAAGTTTAGACAAAAGTCAAATTTAAAATCCCATATGAGAATGCACACAGGAGACAAACCGTTTTCTTGTGATGTTTGTGGACTCAGATTTAGGCAAAAGGCAAATTTAAACACGCACATAAAAAGTCACACAGGAGACAAACCATTTCCTTGTGATGTCTGCGGACAAAAGTTTAGTTATAAGTCATTATTAATCGCCCATGTAAGAATGCACACAGGGGACAAACCGTTTTCTTGTGATGTTTGTGATCAAAGATTTAGTCGAAAGTCCAATTTAAACTCACACATGAGAATTCACACAGGACACAACCCATTTCCCTGTGATGTTTGTGGAGAAAGATTCAGACAAAGGTCATATTTAAACTACCACATGAGAATCCACGCAGGAGACAAACCGTTTCCCTGTGATGTTTGTGGACAAACGTTTAGACAAGGGTCACATTTAAAATCTCACATGAGAATGCACACTGGAGACAAACCGTTTCCCTGTGACGTTTGTGGACAAACATTTAGACAAAGGTCACATTTAAAATCGCACATAAGAGTCCACACTGGAGACAAACCATTTCCTTGTGATGTTTGTGGACGAAGGTTTAGTTTTAAGTCACATTTAATCAACCACGTAAGAATCCACACAGGACACAAACCGTTTTCTTGTGATGTTTGCGCACTAAGATTTAGGCAAAAGGCGAATTTAAACACGCACATAAAAAGCCACACAGGAGACAAACCTTTTCCCTGTGATGTTTGTGGACAAAGATTTAGGCAAAAGGCGAATTTAAACACGCACATAAAAAGCCACACAGGAGAAAAACCATTTCCCTGTGATGTTTGTGGACAAAGGTTTAGACAAAGGTCACATTTAAAGTCTCACATGAGAATTCACACAGGAGAAAAGTGTTCAGCTGTGAAAAACACAACAGCTCCTAAAGATCCACATGAGGTCACACAGAACTGAACACACACAGTTCCAGAGTTAATTAAAGAGTTTATGTAGTGAGAAAATGTGATCTCAAATGTAACAGTTACTGTTCCACTGTGCTGCTTGAAAGTTTGTGAAGTGTTTCAGATTTTTCTTTTGTTTTACCATGACTCTCTTATTTCGTTATCACCAGTTATTGAATATGAAATGTCAGGTTTATGTTCATCGATTCCATTTACTTGTTTTGAGGAAAATGCGAGTTGCAAGTGGACAACTTTAAACATGTAATCAGAGCATCTGCAAAAGTAAATGAACCACAGCTGCTGTAAAGTCACTTAGGTAAAAGACTCACATGTGAGTGTTTAAGTAATCAATTAAGCTGACTAATCAAATGAGACATCCTTGGGAAAAGTTTCGAGGCGCACTGCTTAAAAGGGAGAGGAAGCCAACGAAAACCACTGTTGTGTCAAGGCCTAAAGAACAGAAAAACAATGCTGAGAGGAAAGGAGACGTCTGAGGACGTCAGGAAGACGGTGGCAGCCCATCAGTCTGGGCAAAGCTACAAGACCATCTCTAAAAGATTTCATCTTCATCCATTTTTCAGCCTACTTTTTACTTCTCACATTTTTAAAAAAGGCAAGACGTACAAAGTCGTTACTTTTATTTTATTTTTGCTTGTTTTCATTCCAGCTTGATATTGTAAAAAAATAAATACTATCCATATAAATTGTACAACGGAGTATTAGGGCAACACAAGAATTTTTTTTTTAAATTACAAGAATAAAGTCATAATATTACAACATTAAAGTCATATGAAAATAAAGTCAATATTATGAGAATAAAGTCATAACATTACGAGATTAAAATCAATATGAGGATAAAGTTGTAACATGAGATTAAAGTCATACTATGAGAGTAAAGTCAACATTACGAGATTAAAGTCATTTGAGATTAAAGAAATATGAGGTGTCATGGACTAATTATCTGTTTTCCCCTTGACACTGTTCATCCATCCTGCCGACAACGCCAAAATTGTGGTAGCAAGCGGGCAGAACCTTCCTGATTCAGTTCTGTGTCGATTGTTGCTGACAATTAAATCTTATCTGATTATCACATACGCAGACTTTTCTCGCATTATTCCAACGTGTTTCTGCTTTGCTACCACATGAGGTTAAAGTGAAAATATGAAAGTCGCAATATTACGAGATTAAAGTTATGTGAGATTACAGTCAATATCAGAATAAGTCAATATTACGAGATTAGTCATGAGATCAAAGTAATATTATGAGATTAAAGTCATTAGAATAAACTTAACATTATGAGATTAAAGTCAAAATTATGAGAATAAAGTTGTACCATTGCAAGATTAAGGTCATAATATGAGAATAAAGTTGTAATATTATGAGCTTAAAGTTATGATATGAGATTAAAGTCATTAGAATAAAGATGTAACATTACGAGATTAAAGTCATCATATGAGAATAGTCATAATACAAATGAGATTAAAGTCATAATACAAGATTAGTCATAATGAGAATAAAGTCGTAACATTACAATTTTAAGTCAATATGAGAATAAAATCATATTACGAGATTAAAGTCATGATATGAGATTAGTCATATTTTGAGAATAAAGAAAACATTGAGATTAAAGTCAATATTAGAATAAAGTCATTATGAGAATAAAGACAACATTAAAAGATTAAAGTCATAATATGAGAATAAAGTCGTAATATCAGATTAAAGTACTGTTATGAGAATAAAGTTGCAATGTTGTAAGATTAAAGTTATAACACGAGATTAAATTCATATGAGAAAGACAACATTACGAGATCGATCGTAATATGAGAATAAAGTACAAATATCAGAATAAAGTCGTAATATTACGAGATTAAAGTTAAGAGATTAAAGTAACAGAATATAGACGTAACGAGATTAAAGTCATAACATTATGTGAATAAAATCATAATTTATGAGATTAAAGTCATAATGTTATGAGATTAGTCATAATATTACGAGATTAAAGTAATATTATGAGATTAAAATCTTAAATATGATAATAAAGTCGCAATATTACGAGATAACGTTATAATATGAGATCAAAGTCACATGAGTACAAAGCCATAACCTTACGAGATTAAAGTCATAATAGGAGAATAAAGTCGTCATATTGTGAGATTAAAGTCATATTATGAGATTAAAGTCATAATATTACGAGAATGAAGAATGTGTTATTTTGAATTCACATAAACAATACGGCATTAACGAGGGCAGCTAATCGATGTCAGGACCCCTCACCGCTGATGTAGCTTAGTTGCTAAGCTAACTAGAGTTAGCTACCGAACGTTTGTCGGAAAAAAATAAAACTCTAATAATTTTATCCAGTTAACAAAGGCAGCGGAATTCTTTTGATAACTTGTAAGTTCATTTTAATGGTTTTAATAGTTTTTATGTTAAAGTTAGTCTAACTAGACGACACAAACTGTTGATAAGCTAGCTGGCTTTGAGTTTCCATTACTAATCTGTTTGTAATAGGATTACTTTGTTGCAGTAATTTTGTTTAAAATGGGAGTGGGTGTTCGAACATTGAGGTTACTTATAACCTTATCTATAGATAGAAAAACAGCTCATGATGAATCGTAGGGATTGTTSCWGTTTGTCTCTTGTTTAAATAATGTTCTGTTGAATATGTAGACAGCATTAAAGGCATGTGTGAGAGGAAACCATACCTGGCTGTTTATAGAGTCTCCCTGCTGTCTCACAGAAAGGACAATCTTAACAAACACCTGTCAGCAGCACCAGTCAGGTCTCAAAGCAGGTAAAATAATTTTATTTATTTTAATTTGATTGTAAACAAACAGTATATGGCTCTGCAATTCTGATGCACGTTACTTATATAAAATATGTCACTGTTGAATAAAAATGTAATATAAGTGAAACATTAAGCATCATTAGATACATTCTTTCAATAACATAATATGATTTGATGAAATGACCTCATGATCTCTGGAATCAGTAATATAATAAACTATTTTATTCACAGTGCAACATATAAATAAACTGAAACTTCATATAATCTACATGGAACAGTGAAGCTGTTTCACACAAGTGATGTTTTTGTGAATGTTAAGTTAAATTCCTTAATGTTGATGTGTTTCAGTGGTTCCTGCTCATGTTGAACAGATGGTGCTGATTAAAGAAGAAGCTCCTGAAGAATGGAGGCCTGGTGTGGACCAGCTGGACCCAGAAGCCCTCAACATAAAAGAAGAAGAAGAYGAGGAACCTTGGAGCAGACTGGAGGGAGAGCAGCTGAATGTGAAGGAGGAGACTGATGWCAGCGGGTTTTCAATTATTACAGTTACTTTAAAGAGTGAAGATGATGAAGATGATGAAGAGAAGCCTCTGTTGTCWCAGCTTCATCAGCACCAAGTGGAGGACAGAGATCTTCCAAGCAGCAGCTCAGCTGATGGAGAGGACTGTGGAGGAGCAGAAACTAGCAGGAACCCAGATCTACAGACTCACAAAGACCATTCCAGCTCTTCAGAGACTGAACTCAGTGAGGATTATGAAGAGGACCAGGATGTGGACGATCAACACAACAAGAGAGCTTCTTACAGTAATGTTCAGACAGGAGACAAATCTTTTTCTTGTGATGTTTGTGGACGACGGTTTGGGGATAAGTCAAATTTGAACACGCACATAAAAAGCCACACAGGAGACAACCCATTAACTTGTGATGTTTGTGGACAAAAGTTTAGTTATAAGTCATATTTAATCGCCCATGTAAGAATGCACACAGGAGACAAACCGTTTTCTTGTGATGTTTGTGGACAAAGATTTAGTCGAAAGTCCAATTTAAACTCTCACATGAGAATCCACACTGGAGACAAACAGTTTTGTTGTTATGTTTGTGAACGAACATTTACTTGTAAGTCACATTTAGTCACCCACGTAAGAATCCACACGGGAGAAAAACCATTTCCTTGTGATGTTTGCGTACAAAGATTTAGCCGAAAGTCCAATTTAAACTCGCACATGAGAATCCACACTGGAGACAAACACTTTAGTTGTTATGTTTGTGGACGAAAGTTTAGTTATAAGTCACATTTAATCACCCACTTAAGAGTTCACACAGGAGAAAAACCATTTCCTTGTGATGTTTGTGGACAAAGATTTAGACAAAAGTCTCTTTTAAACTCCCACATGAGAATCCACACAGAAGACAATCCATTTTCTTGTGATGTTTGTGGACAAAAGTTTAGTTATAAGTCACGTTTTATCAGCCACGTAAGAATCCACACAGGAGAAAAACCGTTTCCTTGTGCTGTTTGTGGACGAAGATTTAGCCGAAAGTCAAGTTTAAACTCCCACTTGAGAAAAGTGTTTAGCTGTAAAAAACACAACAGCTCCTAAAGATCCACATGAGGTCACACAGAACTGAGTACACACAGTTCTAAAGTTTATTTAATAGTTTATGTAGGGAGAAAATGTTGTCTCAGTTGTCACAGTTACTGTTTTTCTATGTATTTTGTAAATTTTTAATTATGGCTGGGTAATTTGTCACATGTATGTGAGAAAGTTTTACATAATGCAATGTCAAAATTTTCAATTATTCATTATAAATTTTACCTCCTATTTCATAACAGACTGTAACTACTTCAGAAGGAATTCAGCTTCTTCCATCTTCTTTAATTGCTTTGTAGTCCCTCCCACTCCCAGCTTGAAGACCCGCCCCATTCACTGCTCATCTACCAAACTGAGTTCAAAGCAAAGATTGCGGCAGCTGTCGGGGAAGAGTTTGTTCAAAAGGGGGATAAATAGCAGATGGAATCAAAGGTATTTGCCATGAAAATGTTTGTTTTTTGTTCAGTTTTAATAGTACCTGGGATATAGTGTCAGCCAGTGTGTCTAAAAAATGTATTATCAATTAATTAGTGAACTGAATGCTAAACTTTACAGATCATCTTGTTTTGGTTTTGGAGACCTTGATATGAAATCATGTTCATAAACTTCCTAACTGCTGTAAGAATGATTTACCTGTAAATGTAACAAAAATGTGGCCAACTTAAAATAATCATAATAAATACTGTAGGAGCTACTGTATTTATTTATTTTTGTAAAGTCTTTGAATTTAGTTTATTACCTTTAGTAATTTGTTTATTTGCTGTTTGATTATTTATATATTTGTTTTGTATAATTACATATCCTTTACGTAGATTATGCATTTGTTTAGGTTGAATGACTGACAGCCTGTCAGTCGGTCAGTGAAAGGAAGAAATGGGCAGGTGAGACAGGAAGTTAAGGAGCTCTAAGCACTTTTGGAGGGTGAGAACAGGAGAGGCAAGGAGGGAGGCTGTGAACATGTACCGCATCTTTTGTCTGCAGATTTGAAATAAATTTATTATGGACATGCAGTTTTTGGACTTTATTTTGCACTGAGTAAACCACAAACCTAAAATCCATAAAGTGATTATTTGAGTTACATACTTTGGTTTTTGATCATAAGTTTTTTTTTTGCATGGACAAATATTCACTACAAAACCATGAAAAGGGAAAAAACGGTAATGGTGTGTTACTCAAAAAGGGAAAGAATTAAGTCCTCAGGATGGGTTCTTCTTTAATGAAGCATTTTTTTTATTATTTCTTCTGGTATTTCAGTTATTAATCTGCTCCTTTCTACTATTCTTAGAATTTTTGTTATTATTTTGTTCTTCTTTCTGCTAAATTTAGCTTTGTATGCTTCTTTCATACTTAAAATACACTTTAAGCTTTTCAGCAATTAGCATTCACACTTGCATTTTCTTAGGAAATGCAATTTCTCTCGTTTCTTTTTGAATCCTGAATTTTCTCCCTGGATTGTTAAGTTGCATCAGATGGTGTATAATTGTTATGATCGCCATTGGCTTTGGTCTTAAGTATTTGCTTCTCTTGATGTTTTTCTTTCATTATTACTTAAGAGGTTTATCAACTCCAGATGACCTGAAAAAAATGCCACCGAACTATATTTTACGTGACAATTTAAAGTATGTCTTGACATTTAAGTCACATAAACAATACGGCAGTGACGAGGGCAGCTAACCGCTGTCAGGACCCCTCATGGCTGCTGTAGCTAAGTGGCTAAGCTAGCTACTGAACGTCTGTCGGAACTACATAAACCTCTAATACAATTTTGTTAAGTTAACAAACCCAGCGGAATTGTTCGGATAGTTTGTAAGGACATTTTATTAGTTTCAGAAGATTTTTATGTTGAAGTTAGTCTAACGTGGCGTCAATTAAACTGTTGAAAAGCTAGCTAGCTTTGTGTTTACATTACTAATCTGAGTTTGTTATACTTTGTTGCCGTAATTTTGATATGAAATGCTCGCTTTTATTAGAAAAATGTCATCTATAAACATCTTTAGATAAATCTTGTTCACAGAACCACACGACTGTCCCCTGTAACGAAAATTAATAAATAAAATAATGAACTCTCGAACCATTCGACTCTTTTTATTTGAAAAATGAACATAAACCATTAACATTCTTTTTTCAACACATTAAAAAAGATTTTATACAAAGAACAGATTTCATCACTGCATGATTCACCCTTTTGTTTCTCTATAAGAGTGTAAAAACAGTCAAATTTTCAAAGTTTTGTATGCCTCGTAAAAATAACCGAACACCAAAAACATGCACATTAGCTTGCCTTCAGGCCCAAAACTCTGTTGAAGAGTTCTGTGATCTCAATGGGATTTGATGGTTAATTAAAGGTAAACAATTTGGTCTTAACAGAATGACATGTTATTAGAACAGTTGCTGGAAAGATGAGTGCAGATCAGAGGTAATAAACCCTAACCCTGAATAAAAGCACATAAGAACAGACGTGGAGAGTAACTGTGGTAATAGAAAACAAACATACAAACAGCAACCAGTTTGGTTTGATTTCATCTGGGTCTTTTGAACCTTTTTTAAACTTCATGGAGAGTCTATTTTCTCTGCTGTGTGGACGGTCATGTGAAGGTTAAGACTTGACTTATGGATGAACCTTTGTCCACAAACATCACAAAGAAATGGTTTGTCGCCTGTGTGAATTCTCATGTGTGAGTTTAAACTTGACTTATGGTTAAAGTTTTGTCCACAAACATTACAAGGAAACGGTTTGTCCCCTGTGTGGACTCTAATGTGTCTGCTTAAACTACCTTTTTGGCTAAATCTTTGTCCACAAAAATCACAAGGAAAGGGTTTGTCTCCTGTGTGGACTCTCATGTGTAAATTAAAAGTTGACTTGTGCCTAAATCTTTGTCCACAAACATCACAAGGAAACGGTTTTTCTCCTGTGTGGACTCTCATGTGGGAGTTTAAACTTGACTTTTGGTTAAACTTTTGTCCACAAACATCGCAAGAAAATGGTTTGTCTCCAGTGTGGATTCTCATGTGAGAGCTTAAGCTACATTTTTGTCTAAATCTTTGTCCACAGACATCACAAGGAAAAGGTTTTTCTCCTGTGTGGACTCTCATATGAATCTTTAGATCTTTTTTGCTGTTAAATATTTTACCGCAGTCACTGCATTTAAATGATTTTAGTTTTTTCTGAACTTTCCTGCGTGGTTCCACATTTCTCTTCACTCCATCACTTTTCTCATGAACCAAACAGCTTGAAGACTTTACTCCTGGTGGACATGTCCTGTGTCTCTGCAGAGACCTGTTGTTGACATACTGTTTACCACACTCAGAGCAGCTCAAAGGTTTGTTGACAGTGTTTACAGCTGACTCAGGAGTCCTGCTCTCCTTCCACTCTTTGTTACTGTCTTTAGTTTTTGACCCAGAGTCTGACAGGTTCTTCAGCTGAGAGTCAGGATCGTCCACATCCTGGTCCTCTTCATAATCCTCACTGAGTTCAGTCTCTGAAGAGCTGGAATGGTCTTTGTGAGTCTGTAGATCTGGGTTCCTGCTAGTTTCTGCTCCTCCACAGTCCTCTCCATCAGCTGAGCTGCTGCTTGGAAGATCTCTGTCCTCCACTTGGTGCTGATGAAGCTGTGACAACAGAGGCTTCTCTTCATCATCTTCACTCTTCAAGGTAACTGCAGTGACTGAAAACCTGCTGACATCAGTCTCCTCCTTCACATTCAGCTGCTCTGCTCCCAGACTGCTCCACAGTTCCTCCT